AAGGGGAGCTGATATCAAAGAGTTCAAGAAGAAAGAAAATGTTTTGAAAATGATGGTGGCAATAATTGTACAATTACGCTTGGTCTAATTGAATTATGAACTGTTATAATATTTGTAAGAGCTCCCAATAAAATGATGGGGGGAAAAAGAACTTACCAAGCAGACATAGAACTCCACGCTACAATTTAGGCAAGGGACCATACAGGCAGTGTGTGGCCTGGGACCGTTTGTGGAAAAGCAACAACAACACAACAACATGACAATGGCGAGCCATGGGCTCCCCCTACCCACAGCTCCATGGGAAAAGCCCCTGCACCGAGTCACGCTCCCTGACCAAACTAGGACACGGAGCCTCCTGTGCGCTTGCTTACTCACCTGTCCGGTCTCCTTTCAGCGTGTCCCACACGTTACAATTGTAGTCATCGTAGCCGGCTAACAGGAGGCGCCCGCTCTTCGAGAAGGCGACGGAAGTGATTCCACACATGATGCTGTCATGCGAATACAGCAGTAACTCCTGGTCCGCCCGAAGGTCGAAGAGCCGGCAGGTGGCGTCATCCGAGCCAGTGGCAAAGGCATATCCGTTAGGGAAAAACTAGGAAGCAGAGACAGGAGCATCTAATCCACAGCAGTATCACGCTGTCCGCCACGATCACGGCAGGCAGCGTACCCTCGGACAGTCCCCACCCCATTATGCCTCATACCAAGGGGCTGCTTTTTCATTCTCTTCCACCCCCCTGAGATAAAGGGCTATGGTCAAGTGAGTCCAATGCTGTGGGCACCCCTGGCCCCCTTGTTTGGGCAAACTGATCTGGGGGCTCCAATTTGAAAATACAACTTACTGTCCAACTGCAAATCAAAACCCAGGCCTCTGGGATTCATACTTTCCCATTTGTCTTGAATCAAATCTTTATTTCCCTGGAAAGCAATTTGCTTTAAAAAGTCACCCCGGTGGTCGGCCACTTTCCATGCACAGGCCAGGGTCCCCGGGTGGGCGTGCGCTCCACTTACACTGACGGCGTTGATGTCGGACACGTGCCCGGTGAAGGACTGTCTACACATGCCATCGCGAACGTCCCACAGTTTGGAAGCCGCGTCGCAGGCACCAGAGATGAAGGTCCTCATGTCAGGGCTCAGAGACAGACTCATCACGTCTCCAGAATGCCCGGTGAACGTGGTGGTCTGCTGGGCCGTCTCGATGTCCCAGAGGGCACTGTCATTCAAAACGAAGGACCGAGATCATCAGGTGGCTGTTATCTCTTACGCTGGCCCCGGCCGCGGCACGCACGCCCGAGGCAGTGTTCTTTTGTCATGAACTCACCAGGTCGTGTCCCCAGAGCTCGTCACAATCTGGCTGTCATCTAAGAAGCGGCAGCAGGACAAGTAGCCTAGAGCACAGAACGGCACAGTTTGGTATGGTTGGCGGAATGGCTCGTCTACCATACGAACCAGCACGGTGCATTTAAAAAAGACAGAGCACGTAAACATAGCCAACCGCCGTTTGTCAGTAGAAGCCATAGCTCTGCTTGTGATTACTTCTCACTGTAAGCTGTCTGCACAGTTTATCAGACAAGCCTGTCTCGGGCACTTACTGCGTCCAGGCCACTTGTGCGGGGCGGGGCACTCTGAAAGTTATGAAGCTGAGTAATTCACTAACCCCTGGTGGCACTGTGGTTACTTGTGGGGCTGCTAACTGCAAGGTTAGTAGTTCGAAACCACCAGCCGCTCCTCAGGAGAACGACGGGACTGTCTACTCCTACCGTCTTGGAAACTCACAAGGGCAGTTCCACCCTGTCCTACCGGGTCACTGTGAGTTGGCGCTGACCCAAGGGCGGTGCGTTTTGCTTTGGGGTTTGGTCACCTGGGATGAATCCCTGTTCTTATCAAGTGGATTCCGACGACAGAATAATAACCCTGCAAGACAGAGTAGAACTGGTTCCTAGGCTGAAACCTGTCCAGGAGCTGACTGCTCTCGGTTTGAACCACCGCCCTTTCAGTGAGCAGCTGATTCTTAGCCCGGTGCTGCCAGGGCTCCTGGGTCATGACCCAGGAGGGAGAGATGCCCTGCCACACACAGAGCCATAGGCTGCCCTGGATGGTGCTAGCGAAGCAGCTTGGAGAAACACCAGGAGAAATGCAGCTCGAGGGAAGGCTTCCTGAACGTGGGGGCATCTGGGGGCTCAGCCTGCACCAGGGCTTCCAAAAACGGGCAAAGGTCCCAGGAGAGATTCGGTAGCTGCCTGGGCCAGTAGTGCTGCCAAGATTAACTGTCAATGAGCTCTGCTCAGCCTATAGGGTGCTACTGGACTGCGGGCTATCTGCGGGGAGGTCAGGCAGTGCAATGGACGTGGTAGATGAACGGGTTTGCAAAGACATGCGATTGTTTTGGTGTGGTCAACGTCCCTATGAAGCACTGGCCCTGCCAGCCATGTGCTGGGTGTACCATACAGTGACATGTGTTGCACTTTCATGTTTCACAAATGCCACCCTTATCTGATGCCCATCATTCCCGACAGAAACGCAGCGCCCACCCTGAGCCAGAAACACGCTCTTAAAACACAGCTTCAGTTTGGGAACTGAGTAGGGATGTCCAATTCCCACTCTATCCCCCCCCCCAAAAAAAGACATTATGAAAAATCTATACTTTGGGGGAGGGGTCTTTTTCATTACTGCTTGAATTCTTTGCAGTAAGCTTATCGTTTTTAGTCAAGCAATCCAGCTGCTTGGGAAAGGAAGTTGTGGTGACCGCTTGCAGGACTACAGGATGCTCGTGTTTCCCCAACCAGCTCTCGTGCAATTAATGATCACCCTTGCGCCAGCTGAACACAAGGTGTCACTCATTCTCCTTGAGCTGCTTGTTCTACGATTGGCGTCAGGTTCGGCAGGTCAGGATAGCTTGAGTGGGACTCACCTGTGTGACCTGGTAGCTCTCGGCTCACTCTCACGTTCCCCTCCCTGGTCTTTAAGTTGTATATCGAACAGATATTGTCCAGCCCACCACAAGCAACATAGTTTCCGGAGGGGGCATAAGCACAGGTCATCACCCAGGAGGACCTCAGGGGGATCGCATGCATCTGCAGAAGGAAGGCAATACGGGGAGTGATGACTCGGCAAGCATTACAAGCAGGATTTCTCAAACGATTTACACAGAAGCGAGTATTACGATATACGAAAGACCGTGATGAAGACTATGCCAAATAAAATAAGAGTGGCGATAGCTTTAGAAAGTAAACAAGGACAAGTAAAATACTAATTCACATTAAAATGGATTTGCTTTTTTTGCATATCATGACATCATTGGGATTTTAGAAGTGTTCCTTTTATACTTGCAAGTGACCATCTAAGATAAAACTATTGATGGCTTTCCTTCTGGAGCAAAAGAGAGTGAAGGAAACCCAAGACTCAAACTAGTTCACAGGACGGTCAACCCACACCATCCTAGCCTGAGATCAGAAGAACTGGATAGTGCCCCGCTCGCTACCAACTGGTCTGACCAAAGACGCAATAGGAGATCCTGGACAGAAGAGGGGCAAAAATGTAGATCAAAACTCAAATTACTAACAAAAATCAGACTTACAAGACTGACAGACGAGAGGAACCCCTGAGGCTAATGGGGGATACTCTGAACTTGAACCTGAAGTCACTCCCATAGGACTCCTTTCAGGTAAATAATAGGTGGGCTTACAAAGCACACAATTGATCACCCCCGAGGAATGCGCTCCTTTAAAGAACCAACTGTATGAGATCAAATGGTCGACACTGACCAAAAGCAGAGAGGAGAAGGCCAGGACAGAACAGACAGAAGAAAACAAGAGGGCTGACACGTTGTTAAAACTGAACCCAGTGTCACAGCACAATGTGTACAAAACTTACGCAAATGGGAGTCCAATCTGCTATCTAAACTTTCACTTCAAACACACACATAATATATTTAAGTATTTTCAAAAACCATTCTTGTAATAGAAAACTCAAAGTCTCTGTCATAGGGGCAATTCAAACTCCATGATCCTATTCAACAGAGTCCAACTGCCACTAAGCATTTCCAAGCTGTAAGTCTTTAGAATAGAAAGCCTCATCTTTCTCTCACAAAGTGGAAAAAACCCCAAAACCAACACACACACACACACACACACACACACACAGAAATATAATCTGTGAACAAGGATAAATTGTTCATGGGAGGAAGCAACACATTGCTGAATTATTGCTGCGTTCTCATTTAACTTAAAATACATGGATAAAACAAAGAAAAATTATTTGGTTTTATGAACAAGATACAGGCAAGATAATGCCAATTAACACAGAAAAACAAATGACAAAATGATGTTGGCTAGCTTTTGCCTATTTCACAAACTAATGTTTTCAACCACTTAACAATAATAACAACTACAATAGTGATAGGAGGACCCCCAGGATCTAAAGGTATCTGGCCTGTGGAAGTATCCCTGAAGCCTTTCAAAGGCCCGTTGGGCCTTCAGGTGGCCCTAACCCCCAGTCTTTCACCACCGACAAATCTAAGCAAATTCTAACATGTCGACAATCGGCTACATCGTCTCAGCAGCCCAGAAATCCCAATCGACATCTAAATAGACCAAGGAAAAGCTTTAAACTAGCCAGTGGCTTCTGTACAACTAGAAATAAAAACGGCATCACTGTCATATTACGAATGAAAACTGAAAAACACAAGAACGCTGACATGTAAAAATGGTGTACGGTGCTTTCTAATGCTCTGGTATGAAACATGATACTCAAGTAAAACACACCGAATAAGGCTCCGGTGGATGTCCTTGGGGATAAAAAAGCAAGCACAAGACTCCAGTGAGGATCTGGATGGGACCAACTTCTCCCAGAGAGAAACGAAAGTCGCAAGCAGAATAGAGAAAAGAAGCCATGACCGCAAAGCAAAGACAAGGTCATTTAAAAGAAGGACCGAGAAATGCTACCTTATTCGTTGTGTAGCTATCCCAAATAATTAATTTTCCATCTTGGGAAGCACTGACTAGTAGCCTAGAAAACAAACACAAGAATAATTTGACATTTAGAGGGAAAAGTAGTTTAAATTAGTTACACATTCATCAAAGTAGAACAGTTCAGGATACTGAAAAACAAAAATTCAAATTAACTGGATATCAAAAAGTATTTGCCCAGCATTAAAAAATAAAATAAACAAACAAAATGACCATGTGGGACGGGGCTCTAAATAGAGGTGGTGGTGATTGAATGATTGAACTATTCAATTGTATGATATGTAAATTGTGTGCCAATAAAACTTTTGGGGGAAAAAAATTGACTGCATGCCCAAAATTTTCAATGCAAAATTTAGCCATGCACTAAAACTGTGTCGGCTGATGATTCAATTTTGTCATGCTGGCAGCATTTTAGTTCTAATTCAGGATTCTACTAAGGATTAGCTGACTGGTTTAGTATTTGTTGACTCACTGAAATTTAACAACAGAGAATAAAAGCCTAACGATTCTATTTCACTCAATCTAAAAACATCAACAGCGAGCTCGCCAGTGCATTATTAAGTACAATGCAGGCCAGGCCTCCTGTTCTTCAGTACCCACTTCTGCCAAGTGGTGGAGAGAAGCTATGACACTTATTTCTAATCATTCCATTGACTGAAGCAGCGCCCGAGGGGCAGCAGAAAATAAAGGCCGGAGGGCAGTGAACAACAAAGTGACGGCTAATAGAGTGAATCAAGTCGAGCCTTTGAAAAGAGAATGTGTCTCAAAAGCCCAATTCTGAGAGCTGACTTTTGAAAAGAAGGGTAAGATACGATCAATGTCAGGAGGGTGAGAAGTCCGTGTATCAGGTGTACTGCAGGAGATGTGACTATCCCAGTGGAATAGCATTTGTGAGAAAAAGAAAAACACATTTACAAAAACAGTCTAGATTCAGGTTTCGTAGAAAGCCAAAATAATTAGCAGTCACTCCATTTTTGGTTTATTTGGGAATTTTATTTTTCACCACAGTATAAAATTCAAACTACAAAAATGTATACATACAAGAGGGTACCCCCCAAAACTGGAATTTTTTTCAAAACTATGTATTTAAATTTTTTGTATAAAACAATCCTAGCACCTTCAAAGTACTCTACATTGCACTTACATAATACATATGTCAAATCTGAGATTTCATTTTTGGAAACATTTTTCAAACTCATCTGTTTGCATGGCTGATAGCACCTCCCTCACTTTTTTCTTCACCTCTTCTACATCATCAAATTGCATGGCCCTCTTCATTCATGGAAACAAAAGAAGTGAATCAGGTGCACAGGGCAAGAGAGGCATGCTGTTTTTTGCCCAAAACTGGCACACTAAGATGGGTGCATGAGCAGGTGCATTGTCGTGGTGGCAAAACCAGTCCTCCATCTGCCACAAATCAGGCTTTCTTTGTCACACACAGTTCCACAATCTTTTCACAACCTCTAAACAGAAAGCTTGATTGACAGTCTGACATGGTGGAATGAACTCCAAATGCACTACAAGTCAACATTTTCATCCGTTTGGGGAAGTTGATGGGTATCCAGATCAAGGTTTGTCATCAATAGACATTTCACTTTTTTTTTTTGGACATTTCACTTTCTTGAAATGAGAAAACCACTCATACACTTGAGTTTTCCCCATAGCGTTGTCCTTGTAAGTGATGTTCAACATCACAACAGTTTCTGCGGCATTTTTCACAAACAGGAAACAAAATTTTACAGCCATATGCTGTTCTCTTAAATCAGACAGCACAAAAAACAAGGTTCCAGCAAAACTGCTTTTCAAAAAAAAACTTGGTGTGACCAGAGAACCTTGCAGGCGATGCCCCTGGATGACTAATTCAGATCAAGTTTCTCGATGCTTGCCTAGTGGGAAGAAAGTGTACTACAAAGTACTGCTCTGCCCAGCGCAATTCCACTTTTGGGGGGTACCTCCTCGTACAGTGCCAATAAAACAAACACCCTCCTTTCCCTAACCTCTGCTATCCAGTTCCCGTCCTGTGAGGTCACCACTGTGACCTTCTTACACAGTGAGCAGTTTTTAAGTTTTCATGAAAGGAAAGAGGTGACAGTGGGGCATGGAGTGGAACGTAGACAGAACCTGTTTAAAAATCCAGTCGAACAGTCAGCAGGTGACGTGCACAGGACCCTCAGTAATGAGCAGATCACCAGAATGCGTCTGAAGGCAACGTGAGCCGGTTCTCTGGCTCTAAAAGTCTTGAAAGATATCAAGAACCATTGACATTTTCCCAAGTGACTGTATTTTGAGTTAACAGTTTGTGCTACCAATCGGCAAATGATTTAGCTTCAACTCCTTTAGGAGAAAGAATAAAGCATTTGGATTCACTTTGCTTCAACCCTCAATTGCTTGCTTTCATGGATCCCTTCAGAAGAGCGTTAGCACTTGGTTCATTTGATTCCTTGTAATGGGTTAAGGGTCAGCCACACCATCGCATGTACCAGAACAGCCTTTCTCTCTGTCTGAACCATACTTCATTTTATGAATAAAATATATATATATTTTTTGTTTGTTTGTTTTTTTTTTTTTTTAACATTTTATTAGGGGCTCATACAACTGTTATCCCAATCCATACACACATCAATTGTGTAAAGCGCATTTGTACATCGTTTCTCAAAACATTTTCTCTCCATTTAAATCCCCGACATTAGGTCCTCATTTTTCCCCTCCCTCCCCGCTCCCCCCTCCCGCATGAGCCCTTGATAGTTTACAAATGGGTATTTTGTCATATCTTGCCCTGTCCGACTTCTCCCTTCATCCACTTTTCGGTTGTCCATCCCCCAGGGAGGAGGCCACACACAGTTGCATGCAATTGGTTCCCTCTTTCCTACCCACTCTCCCTCCACCCTCCTTGTTTTGCCACTCACACCACTGGTCCTATAGGGCTCATCCATCCTGGATTCCCTGTATTTTCAGTTCCTATCTGTACCAGTGTACCTCCTCTGGTCTAGCCAGTCTTGCAAGATAGAATTCGAGTCATGGTAGTGGGAGCGGGGAGGAAACCTTTAGGAACTAGAGGAAAGAATAAAATATTTTTTGAGAGGCGGATTTACCTTCCTTAGTAAAGGTTTCTAAACTTGTAAAATATCAATGACATTTTAGTGAAAGCAAGGTGTTTACCTTGACGACATTTCCTGCAAACATTTCATAAACACAGCTTGCTTTCAAAACAAATACAAGCCACATCATGATTCTTAGCAAACACAGTTCTCTTGCTAGTTTGAAAACAACAGATACAAACCTTGAATTGTATCCCCAATGCATTGCATAAATTTTAGCGAGGTGTCCCCTCAGTGTACGTCTTGTTCGCATTTGTATTCGACCCACGCAGTCCAGATTTGATGTGATCTTTAGAAGGAATAAAAATGTTATCCCTTTTCTTAGCCATACTTCAGAAAGCAATTTAAAATGAGAAACAATTAGTAGAGGAAGAAAAGTAGATATAAAGCAATCTCATAGTAATGGAAGACAAGTTAATATAAATCATTCCTGAGCTCTTAAGGATAATCATGTCTTAAGGATGATCATCTCAATAAAAAAATAAAGCATGATTAATTTTAAGTGATCCCATTTGCCACAATCAGTGAGGACATACTCTACACACTATTTTTTTAGACACACCTTCTAAGCTTTACTGAAAAATTAGCTACACATAAAAAGTTTATAGTAGATGATCAAAGAGTAAAGTACTATAACTTTAGCCATCTATAAGACAGCCAGCAGCCCTGATAGCCCAGAGGTTCGGTGCTCAGCTGCTATACAAAAGGGCATCAGTTCGAACTCACCTGGCATCTGCAAAAGAAAGATACGGCAGCTGACTTCCCTTAAGATTGGCCTTGGAAACCCGAGAGCATCGCTGAATGATATCCCATAGCCTCATTATGAATCAGAATCAATGAGAGCAATGGATTTCAGTTTTCAATTTGGTTTAAGAAAGCCCATGTTATATTCATATAGCCCATGAAACACTTTCTTTGAAAATAACCAATTTTAATTAAACTCACGAGACTTTCTTAAGAGTTCATAAAAGAAAAAAAAAGTTTAATTAGGGCACCATATTAGAAAGAACTTCCAAAGAAGGTTATACTATATTTATACCAATTTACATATTTTATACGGCTTTTCCCCCCAAACCTTTAATAATATGCTTTATAATATCTTTGTTCTGTACAACACTTGACAGAGAGCAAAGTTTTCACATAATGACCTCACTTAGGTTTAAAGTTAATTATTCATAAAAAGAATTTGAAGTCATTTGTACTCAGTGTTAACCTATTTCATGTGTTACTAAAATAGGGGGAAAAACAACCAAAAAAACCCCAACTTTACCTGAACAAGTGTTGTGTCATTACATGCTTTTCTGGCATCCTGAAGAAAAAGGACAACACATGTAAGTGTGGATTAGATATAATTTAAAGTCATATTTGTTTATGGCAGAAAGCACATTTGGAAGTATGCCTCTTTACTGTACCACAAAATCTTGAGTTTTAAAACCCTTTCTTTTATACTCTAAGTTTTTATTGTGACAATACACAAAACTCATCATTGTAACTAATTTGGAGTGAGTAGTCCATTGGGTCCTAATACTGTCACGATGCTGTTGTAACTATCACCACTCTCTCATGCCAGAATAGTTCCATTGCCCCAACATAGAAGGCCCAGGCCCACGACCCTCTCCTCTGTCTCTGCTTGTCATCTGACTGTACACTGGACCCTTCTGGGGGTTTCGTGTAGGAGGATCATCGAAGAGCTCTGGGAGCACAGGAGGTTACAAGATCAGCAATTTGACTGCACCTGGGCTTCCCAGGAGATCGATGAGGCTTTCTGCTACTGTAAAGATGAACAGCCTCAGACACTCACAGGGGCAGTTCTACCCTGTCCTACTGGTAGCTGGGAGCCTGAATCGAGTCGATGACAATGAGTTCAGTTTGGGGGTTGGAACCATAGAAGGTGGCCTCAAAAATTTTTTTCCCCACTATTTTGCTTATTCACTAGCTTCACACTAGCTTGTTAATAAACATCATCAGTTCAATTTCTGTCTGTCACGATGCTGTTATCAAGGTTCATATACAAGTTTTGAACGAGCATGTTTTGAATTCTCTTGAGTAAGTACACCCAGGACTAGCATTGGCAACTCACAAGTAAACTTCATGTCTAAACATGCTGAGAAACTCCCAAGCTGTTTTTCATCATGGTTGGACTATTTGATGCACTCCCTGGAGGATGCGAGTTGCTAACATGCTCAATGGCTACGGAAAGGTTGGTAGTTCAAGTCCACCCAGAGGCACATTGGAAGAAGGGCCTGGCAATGGACCTCTGAAAAAACCACCCTTGAAAACGCTTGGAATGCAGACTTGACTCTGGCCAGGTGGCACCTGCATGAGTTGGAATCAACTTCAGGCAACTGGCAGGTGGGTAGGGTGGGGGGTATAAAGTGGTATCTCACAGCGGGTTTGATTTGCATTTCCCTGATAACTAATGAAGAAGCCCTGGAGCTACAGTGGGTTCGGTGCTGGGCTGATTACCACAAGGTCAGTGGTTTGAACCTACCAGCCATTTCACAGTATACCAGTGTGGTTGCTCCCTAACGATGAATAGCCTTGGAAAGTCTACGGAGCACTTCTCCTCGGCCCCAGAGGGTTGCTGGGGACCACAGTCGCCTACCTAAGGTAAGGTGACCAGACATCCCGATTTTTAACAATTTTCCCCGCGTCCCGCGGCGTTTTATAAAAGTCCCGATTTTTGGAAAGAATGCACGACAAGCTAGGGTATACGGTTTTCGGCTGCCATGTGGCTATTTCGCCAGGATATGAGTTTTATCAATGGTGTCCCACTTTACCAATGTTAAAATCTGGTCACCTTAAGTCTAAGGGCAGGGGGCGGAGGGTTAGTGACCACTAATGCTGAGCATATTTTCATGTTCTTATTACTCACTTATATATCTTCCTTGGGGACACGTCTATTCAAATCCTTTGCCTATTTTTCATTAAGCTTGTCTTCTGATTGCTCCGCTATAAGAGTTTTTATAAATTTTGGAGACTACACCCTTATGAGATACATGATTTGCAATATCCTCTTCCGCTCGCTCGGCTGCCTTTTCACTTTATTTTCTCGTTAGTGCCCATTGATGCACACGTTTTGAATTTTGATGAAGTTATATTTACCTACTGATTGGTTTGTTCTTGTGCTATTTTGGGGCCAAATGTAACTGTTGCCTAGTTGAAAGTCATGAAGATTGACACCTACGTTTACTTCTAAGAATTTTATAGTTTTAGCACTTGTAGTTAGGTCATGGGTTTGTTTTGGTTAGTCTTTAAATGTGGTGTGAGGCAGGGATCCCGATTTACTCCTTTGCATATTGATATCCAGTTGTCCAGTCACCATTGACTAAAGAGACCATTCTCTGCCCTAATGCATGATCTTGGCACCCTTGTAGAAAATGAATCAGACATTTGTGAATAGGTTACTTTTGGGCTCTCGATTCCATTCCACTGTGCAAATGTCCTTTTAGATAATATGTGTTTTAAAATTGTGTTCTCTGAGCAAGAAGGGAGAGTTTGGTCTGATAAGTCCACAGTATTCCGAATAAGCTTCAGCTGAAAACAAAAGTTCTAAATTCCCTTTTATTTACTCTGGCATCTAAAAGCTTCAGTGATGGGAAGGGTATTTATAGTGTATTACAGTTTGTTTCAGAAATATCTAAAGCAGGAAAACGACTTCTTTAAAATATTTCCCTCCACGGGGAGCGGGGAGGGAGGGGGGGAATGAGGAGCTGATAAAATTAGGGCTTAAGTAGAAAGCAAATGTTTTGAGAATGATGATGGCAACAAATGTACAAATGTGCTTGACAGGGTGAAGGGAGACGTCGGACAGGGCAAGATATGACAAAATACCAATTTATAAACTATCAAGGGTTCATGAGGGAGGGGGGAGCGGGGAGGGAGGGGAAAAATGAGGACCTAATGTCGGGGGTTTAAGTGGAGAGACAATGTTTTGAGAATGATGTACAAATGCGCTTTACACAATTGATGTGTGTGTGGATTGCGATAACAGTTGTATGAGCCCCTAATAAATGTTTAAAAAAAAAACCATAAAAAAAACAAAAAACAAAACAAAAAAAAATGTGCTTGACACAATGGATGGATGGATTGTGATAAAAATTGTACGAGCCCCAATAAAATGATTTAAAAAAATTAAAAACAAAACCAAAAAATATTTCCCTCCAATACAAAAATAAGATATTATATCAGGAAAATAATTTTTATGTAACATGCAACAATTTATACTGAATGGTATCATTTTTTTTCATATTTTTATATTAATGGCAAATCCCTGACTTGTATGCAGTGGTTTGTGCTTCAATATTTTAGCCCTCCTACAAGACTTCAAAGAAAGGAAGAAACAAAGAAATGATCAGAGATAGTGGACTAGAAGTGAATGTAACGAAACAAATTAGGCAGCCATACCAACCCAGCGAGGGGCAATCCCCCTCGGGGGCTTACCTGGGTGTGTCCTTGATGGAGCTTACAGTACCTGGCTGGGGGCGGTCCATCTGTCCTGGTGACCGGCAGGACTCCAGCAGTAGGATTGCCGGCCACATATTTGATGTTCACTAGCACAGCTTACGATGTTGGTCCAGGGGCTTTGCTGAGCCAGTTAGGCATCACTCATGACTCTGTGGGCCCCAGTACTGTGAGCTCCATCCAGGAGCACTTAAATCAGGGAGCTTGCCCCAAATGTCTTCAGGATGGGGTTTACAATGGAATGGTATGCCCTTTGGGGAACTTAGACCCAGACTTGGAAGAATGTAATATGTCCTGATAAACAACTCTATCCTGAGCACTGTCTGAGTTTTGTGTAGCTGTTGCAGTGGGTATGAGAATCTAGAGAGGTCAAATAGAGAACGCTAATTAAGAAAACACAGAAGACACACAGCATTTGTTGAATAAAGGTTCCAGATGAACTTCTCCCGGCCAGGCAAGGGACAAACATCTGCCTCCGCCTGCAGCCACGTCTGGACGGGAGATCGGATCTTTGGGCTGCCATTCTGACCTGTTATGAGCACTTGGCATATTTCTCTCTAAGGCTGTTCATGAATAGCTGCACTAATGTACAGTTTGATTATCATTCTTAGCAAAATTGTGGGTTGTAAGAACCTCATTTGGCAAGAAATAATCATGGCCACTGTTTCACAGCGATCAGAATTTCAGGAAGGGCAGTCATGGCCTTGAACCGTGTTCTGAAAATGGCGGACTTGAAGATTCATTTCTGAAAACAGGCTTTAGGAAAATGAACCCGCATTAGTCAGGTCATCGTTCTTGATTCAGTTATTCGACAAAAATGTTCCTCTGTGCCAGGAACTATTTTAAAACCAATGAATGAAAATCCAAACAAACGAAATCACGTGTCAGCATGGAACTGCGCTCCACAGGCATTTCAAGCCTGCTCTCTCAGAATCCGTCACCAGGCCTTTCTAAGGCACCTCTGGGTGGACGCCAACCTGCAGTCTTTCAGTTAGCAGCCGGGGCAGGCACAGTAACCATTTGCTCCACCACAAGATCTTATTAATATTTACCGTGCAATTAAAGAACCCCACATGAAAATTATTGCAAATCAGTATGGAAAACGAAATCAGGCTGAATTCTGCAAATGTCTTCGCAGCAATCACTTGCAAATTTAATTATGAATGATTCTATTCACATGGAGAACTTACTCTTAGGAGCACTATGATCCATTATAAAACTGCGTATAAAAGAATTATTCCCAACGAAAGGCTGACGTCCATGCTGTCCACTACAGTGAGCAATACAAGATCCGATACTGACACTTTGTGCAAAGCACAGAACTGTGGCAGAGTTCTCATTCAAAATCAGTCGACAAAAAATAATTTAAAATATTTTTTTTTCTCTATTTGTGCTTTAAAAATGCTTCATGGCATTTCAGTACTATAATCCAAGGGCATACATGTGTTTACACTGTGTGTGTGTATGTGTGTGTATACATATTATGAATATATTTCTAAAATGGAAGAACTAAGGGGAAAACAGAAGAAAGGGCCTTTACGTGTCATGTGACATTAACTCAGAAAGTACATGGTATTTGAAACCACAGAGGAAATAAATACATGGCTTTGTGCTTGGGGTGCTGGTGAGACACGATGATGAAGACATGAACTTTCCCATCCAAGTGTAAGTAGTGGAGATAGTCGTGCACAAGGAACCAGGCAGCGGTGATGGGCCCTGTAATAGAAGTGAAAACTACAACCAACAGCCATCAAGTCAATTCCAACTCGTAGCAACTCCACATAGTTTTTGAGACTGAGAATCTTTACAGGAGCAGACATCTCATCTTTCTTCCAAGGAGCACCTGGTGGGTTGGAACCACTGACCTTGCAGTTAGCAGCTCAACACCTAACCCGCAGTGCCACCAGGGTTCCTAGAAGTACAAACCAAATGAACAAACAAACAAAGAGCCCTCGCTGCTATGGAGTTGGTTCTAGCTCATAACAAGCCCACAGGACAGGGCAGAACTGCCCCGGGGTTTCTGAAACTGTAACTCTTGATGGCAGGAGAAAGCCTTCTCATTTGCTCATGGCACAGTTGATGGTTTCAAACTGCTGACCTTGTGATTAGCAACCCAACACATAAAAAAGATGGCACCAGAGCTTCTGCAGAAGCACAAAAGTGCTGTACAAATAGGGGGCTCTGGTGGTACAGCTGTGATCCTCATGGTCAGCAGTTCGAAATCACCAGCCCCTTGGAGGGACAAAGTCTGGGCGGTCCACGGCCCTAAACAGTCTCAGAAGCCCACAGGGGCTCATAAATGCATCAGCACAGACTCGAAAGCAGTGAGTCTGTTTCTTTGCCACTTAACTGGTATTGAGCTAAGTCCTTTGCATGTTATTCCATTTCATCTTCTCCTAGAACCTCTAAGCAATGGTGCTCACCTTTGGCAAAAGAGATACTGTGAGTCAAACAAGTTAAGAAACTTGCCCACAGCCACAAAGTTATTAAAAGGTGGAGTCCCATCCACTATGCCATGATGCCTCTTCCTATAAAAAAGAGTAAATTAAAAAAAACCAACAACCCCCAAACCAAGACCATGCGATGGGAAAGAGCAGAGAAAAGGCCACCAAGCTAGCAAGGCCACTGGCTGGGCTGCAGGAGAGGAGGATGGAGACAGAACACAGGCTTTGGGAGCCAAACAACTTGGTCTGAATCCAGGATCTCCTGGGTCACTATGGTAACTTGGTAAATACTTCTGGAACCCTGGTGGTCTGGAATGGCAGGGTCAGCAATTCAAAATCACCAGCCACTCCTTGGAAGAAAGGGCTTTCTACTCCCATTAAGAGCAAGTCTTGGACCAGAGCAAGTACACGGGTACAGATAAGCACAGGAAACACAGGGAATCCAGGACAGATAGACCCCTCAGGACCAATAGTGAGAGTAGTGATACCAGAAGGGGAAGGGGAAGGGTGGAGGGAGAAAGGGGGAGCCAATCACAAGGATCTACATATAACCCCCACTCCTTGGGGGATGGACAACAGAAACGTGGGTGAAGGGTGACATTGGTCAGTGTAAGACATGACAAAATAATAATTTATAAATTATCAAGGGTTCGTGAAGGAGGGAGAGAAAAATGAGGGCCTGATACCAAGGGCTCAAGTAGACAGAAACTGTTTTGAAAACGATGATGGCCATAAATGTACAAATGTGCTTGACACAATGGATGCGTGTATGGATTGTGATAAGAGGTATA